GTTGGGGCCGCGGGCCAGGGGGCCCGGGCTGCCGGCGATGCGGTTGTGCGACACGAGCAGCGTGGCCGGGTCGGTGTGGTCCGAGCTGCGGATCTCGTCCCAGATCCTTTTCTTGTCAAACTGGCGCAGCGCGGCGCCAAAGTCGAAGTCCTCGTCGAGGTTGTCGCCGGCGGCGGCGGCAGGGGCGCCAGTGGCGGCCGAGGAGATTGCGGGGCTGGCGCTGCGCGAGTGCGGGTTGCCGTCGAGCCGCTGCTGCTGTTGTTGCTTCTTCTTCTTCTTGGCGGGCGTCTGCTTGGGCGTGTGGGCTGCCGAGGCGTGGACGGGACGAGGCGAGGGGGCGGGCGACGAGGACGAGGCAGGGGCGGTGGCGGTCGGGTGTGTGCCGTTGCCGGCTGAGCCTGGCTTGGCCAGCGAGAGGATGGCGGGGTCGGAGGGGGGCGCAGAGGACGGGGTTGAGGAGGAGGAGGAGGAGGACAAGGACGAAGCGTGCGCCTGGCGAGGGTGGGGCGATGCGCGGGCGGCCGACGAGGGGTGTGCGTGGTTGAAGAGGATGCTGGGCGTCGACGTCTCTGCGCGCGCAGGGGCCGGATGCTGTCCGGGCGTCGACTGTGCGGCGGGCGCGGGACGGGCCGACGACGACGACGGCGAGGACGTCGAGGGAGGGCGAGACGAGGATGCTGGCTGGTGCGCGGTCGCGGGCGGTGCGACGGCCGAGAGGCTCTGGATGTCGGTGCGGAGGATGTCGATGCGGTGGCCGTCGGCGGTGCGCGCGACGGTCAGGGTGTTTGTGGCCTGGTTGACCGAAAGGATCTTGGCCACGAGCGGCGCGTGCGGCTGCGAGCGCAGGTGCAGCTTGACCTCGAGACCGACAAAGGGCGATGAGGCCATCGTGGGCGGTTGCGGGGGAGCAGCGGGACGAAGATGGAGCGGCAGTCTAGCGATGGCTTGCAGGCGAGCCGGGAATAAGGATCGGACGAGCAAGTTGCGGCACCGTGGCAGTGTAGCAGAGTGGCAGCTTGCGTGGCAGCGAGGCAGGGCAGTGGTGGTGGTGGTGGTGGTGGTGGTGGTGGTGGTGGTGGGATGTCAGGGAGCCAACCAACGGCCCTGGCCCTGCCCTTGCTCGCCTGCCTCGCCTGCCTACCCTCCTCTGGCCCTGTCGCTGCCGCGGCGCCGAGGCGTGGCCCGACCGCTCCGATTTTCGCGCGCTGAGCAAAAGGCACCTCGTCGTCCTGGCGCCGTCCCTGACAACTGACACCGCCGCCCTTGTCGCACTTCGTCAAACGCCACCCTCGCCCAACGACCCTGACACCTCGAATCGAGCTCCTGCATACACAGCCTCCGTGCGCTCCCCTCGACGACATGAAAGGACCCTGCGGCGTGTCTAGCAGCGCCGCCGGCTTCTGGCAGAGCAGATGCAGGTGAAGCATCGCCGGGCAGTGGCATCAATTGCACGGCAAGCGGGCGGGCGGAGGGGCGAGCCAGCCGCCCCGTCGGTTCTAGTCTAGGCGGTCCTCGCTCCGTCTACCTCAAGCGACGGCGGCGGCGACCTCCGGGCCGCCAGCGCTACTTGTCCTTCCTCTTCTTGAGCTCGTCCTTCTTCTTGTTCGACCTGGCCGGCTTCTTTTCGTCCTCGCGGCCCTCGCTGCCCTCGCCTTCACTGCCGTCGTCCTCGGTCCAGGCCCACACCTCCTTGAACTCGCCGCGGACGAGCGAGGTGATGGCGATGGCGCCGACGCAGGCGGGGCTGAGGTAGAGGAGGGCCGGCTGGGCCGCCTTGAAGACGTGCATGACGGCCATGGTGGTGGCGAGGCCCAGGACGTAGGCCAGCAGCGTGGCGGCAAAGTAGGGCTTGGCGAAGCGCGTGTAGGAGCGCGTGAAGCCGATCGACGGCGTGCGCTGGGCGGCCACGGTCTGGTCGTAGCGCAGCGCCAGGGCGACAAAGACGCCCGGGATGACAATGTCGCCCAGGCCGAGCATCGTCATCTGGAGCCGCGGCACCTCGCCGCCCGCCCGCAGCGCCGCGAGGGCGTCGAGGATGTTTTTGGGCCACACAATCTTGATGGGCGCGTCAAAGTTGCGCGCCACCGTCACCATGACGGGCGTGCCAAACACCCAAAAGATGTCGTAGAGGAAGAGGCCGCCGAGCATGATGGCGCCCGTGCGGAACGAGTCGAGCGACATGAGGCTGATGGCGTTGAGCGCCAGCGAGAGCGCCAGCAGGTTCGAGATGATCCAGTTCTTGGTGACCATGTAGACGCCGTTGAGCACGGCCGACAGGATAAAGAGGCCCACGTCGACGTGGGTGAAGCGCGCCCGCAGGATCTCGCCCTGGCCGCGCTGCTGGAGCGAGAAGCGGAAGGCGGGCAGCCGCTTCCACAGCGACCGCGGCGTCGCCGCCTTGGTCACGGCGACAAACACCTTGCTCACGGCAAAGCAGCCCACCAGCCCAAAGTAGACGCCCAGCAGCATGTTGACGTACTCCTTGTTGATGTACTTGAACACCAGGAACATGCCAAACAGCACCGCGCTGCCCATGACGGGGAACAGCCACGCGTCCGAAGACGTCAGCCGCTCCGTCATCGTCTCGCCGTCGTCGTCGTCCGAGTCGGAGCCCCACCCGTCGTCGTCGTCCGAGTCGTCCGAGTCGCTCGTCGCCGCCGCAGCCTTCCTGGCCGCCTTTTTCTTCTTCTTGGCCTCGCGCTTCAGCTCGCGCGTGCTCTTGGGCGTCTCGAGCGAGGCGTACGAGCCAAAGTAGATGGGCACCAGCGCGGCCGTCATCAAGACGCCTGCAGGGGGGGGGGGAGGCGGGGCCATTGCGCGGCGAGCCGAGTCAGGGGCAGAGCGAGACGTTCAGTATGCAGCGCACCACAGCCTCGACCAGCAGCATTAGCAGCAGCAGCAGCGACGGCACGCACCATACGAGATGAACAGATCCGTGTCCGAGACCATCGTGAGTGGGTGGCGAGGGTGGCTGGGTTAGTGTGTTGCTTCAACGAGGGGGATCCGGTGGTGGTGGTGGTGGTCAGGAGGCAGGAGCAAGGTCTGGTAAAGACTGGATCTCCGAGGGCGAGCCAGCGAGCGAGCGAGTCTTCTCTTCTGGCAAAAGGAGCGTGAGGGACGGCCAGCGAGGCAGGGCTGGGCGCAAGGTGGGGGCGGAAGGGCTGCGGTCGATGAGGTCCAGAAAGAAGATGGACCCACGCCGCGCCGAGGTTGACAGCGAGTGCCCCGTGCCACGTCTCCACTTTTTCCTCGAGGTGCCAGCGCACCACCACCTCGCTCGGCGATTTCGGCAAAATGGAACAACGCCAAAAAGGTGACCCTTGCCCGACTCGAACGGACAACCTTCGGAATGCCAGAGGGCTCAATGAGCCGGAAGGGAAGCTGGAAGCCGACGCGACTACCAATTGCGCCAAAGAGCCACTTGATGCACCGACGGCGGAAAGTTGCATACCAATCGTCTCAAACAAATTTGCGTACCACCGGCAGCCTCCACTCCACTCGACCCGACCTCACCTCTGGAAGCGGCGCCCTGCCTCGCCTTGCCTCCTGGCCACCACCCACCACCAGCAGCACCACCATGCCGACAGCAGCAGCAGCAACAGCAGCAACGGCGACGCCGACGCCGCCGCCGCAGGAGGACGAGGGCAAGTACCGGTCCAGCTGGTCCGTGGCCGGTTCGGCGGAGCGCAACTCGGGACCCATCGCCGAGACGCTGGCTCCGCTGCTGCCCGCACCGCCGGCCGGCTCAGCAGGACAACACGAGCAAAGGCGACGGCCACTGGTGCTCGAGCTGTCTTCCGGGTTCGGGCACCAGATCTCGACGCTGGCATCTCGAGCGACCCACGTCGACTTCCAGCCCACCGAGGCCGACGCCTACCTCTGCTCCCGCATCGACTCGACCTGCTCCGCCTCGCCCAACGTCAAGCGGGCGCAGGTGCTCGATGTCCTCGAGCAGCAGGCCTGGTTGGGCCTCATGCATGCCGTCCCCTCGCTCTCCCAGGAGAGCCACGGTCACGACGACGACGGCGACGGAGCGTTTGATGCCGTCGTCGTGTGCAACCTGACGCACGTGGCGCCGTGGTCCGTCACCGAGTCGCTGTTTGCGCACCTCGACCCGCGACTCACCTACCTCACCGAGTCCGGACAGAAGCCCATCCTGCGGCGGCGCGGCTGGATCGCCATCTACGGCGCCTTCAACGAGCACGGCGGCTTCACCAGCGACGGCAACAGGCAGGTGAGCAGGCCGCTCCCCCGCCCCGTACGAGCCGCCGTCCGTTTGTGCGCGAATGCTTGCTGACTCGCGTGCCGCTCGTCCCCCACCCCAGTTCGACGACACCATCAAGGCGAGGAACCCGCATTTTGGCCTGCGCGATGTCCAGGGCGAGCTCGTGCCCCTCGCGCAGCGGCACGGCTTCGAGCTCCAGCAGCGCATCGAGATGCCCGCCGGCAACGTGAGTGCTGGCGCCGCGTCGACCCGTCGGATCGCATCGCATCGCAGCAGCTGACCTCCGCCCCCGCATCGCCGCCACCCCGCTCGCCGTCGCAGCTGATGCTCATCTTTGGTCTCGCGCAGCCGCAGTGAGGCCTCGGCGCCGGCAGCCGCGGCAGTGTGCAAAAAGTCTACATCTGTCTTTTCCGTCGCTCTCGACGGGCGCCCTTGCAACACTAGAGGATGGTTCCGAGCCCCATCGACTTGAGGCCGCGGATGTAGTACGTCTCGAGGTTCTTTTCGACGGCGTCTTCGTCGCCCGAGGGGACGCCGCTCAGCACCAGCTCGAGCTTGGTCGAGTCGCCGCCCTCGCTCAGGTTCATGGCCAGCGTGCCGTAGTGGCCCTGCGGAAACTGGGGCGTCCTCCACTTTTGGATGAGCTGCCGGGGCGCGTCGGCGCTAATGACCTTGCCCGTGATGTTGCCGCCAAACAGGGCAAAGTCGGCGTCGGGCTTGGGCTCAAACTGCGGCGGGACGGAAGGTTGAGATGCAGCAAGTCGCAAGGGGAAGAGGTCAAGGACAAAGGTCAGAGAGAACGAGGAAGGGAGACGAGTGCCGACCGGCTGCTGGGCGCCCACTCACCTGGGCAGGCGACCGTGTCCACATGGGGATCTTTGCCGGGTTGGTGAGGAGGTCCCAGAGGTCCGTGATGCTGGCGGCGAGCTGGCTCGAGACGCGGACGTCGCTCGAGCTGGTCGAGACCTTGGCGGGGGCCGCCTTGGATGCCGGCGTGGCCGTGGCAGCTGCTGCCGATGCGGTGGCCGAGGGGGCGGCCGAGGACGTGGCTGGGGTCGAGGTTCCCGAGCCCGGGGCCGACGGCGTGCCCTCGTGGCCGAGGTCCTTTGCGTGGGCGTCGATGAGGTTCTGCCGGAATGCGTGGAAGGCGGGGCGCAGCGAAGGTGCGAGCTCCTTGCGCACGGCGTCGTACAGGCTCTGGGTGGCCGCCGAGCTCGACGTCGTCATCTCTGTCTCGAACTGGCGGCGTAACGGCGTGGGGTCGCGGCGAGAGAGAGAGAGAGAGAGAGAGAGAGAGAGAGAGAGAGAGAGAGAGAGAGAGAGAGAGAGAGAGAGAGAGAGGAGGAGGAGAGAAGGAAGGGAGGACGGTACGGGTAGGGTACGGTACCGGGGTTACGGTTAACCGGGTA